TTGAGGTTTCCCTAGAACCCACAATGATCCTCCTGCCTCAGCCTCCTAAGTGCTGGGATTATAGGCATGCACCACCACACCCAGCTTCACTGTATAACTTTTAAAATAGTATTTCTTTCTATTTTGAAAGGAGGCAGAAAGAAGACATGATGGCTTGCTCCTTCTGTCCCAGCTACTCTGGAGGCTGAGGCAAGAGAATCACTTGGGCCTACAAGTCTGAGACCAGCCTGGGCAACATAAGGAAACTGCCACCTCAATAAGTAATTCATAATTAATTAAAATGTACAAGGAGGCAGAGAGCTGGGCAAAGCTACCCAAAGTCCTTCCCTGCAAAGAACTGGCAGGTTTCTGTCCCCATCTCTCTCGGTTTCAGACAGTAGCAGAAGCAGCCCAGGATACCTCCAGAAAAGCCAGCTAGAAGCTTGGCGTGGCCTGAGTGAGGGCCACAACTGAGCGGCCCAAAGCCAAGTGACAGGAGCGCGCTCCAGCCTTGCCCTCCTGTGTCCCCAGCCCTGGTCATCCACCATGGGCCAGTCCACATCCCAGGCCTCCCCAGCTGGGGAAGTGGCCATGCAGGCAGCAGACAGGAGAACATGCTGCGGTGTCCCCAGGCCACAATCCCGCGAGGGAGTTACCACTGGCCCATCCTGTGCATGCAGACTCCGAAGCACATTAAACTGTTTTCTCAAAGTACCTGCAGGGGTTCAAGCCAGCAGAGTCTGGTTCCTGTGAATCCTGTGGGTCTGCACAACTCCTTATTTGAGTGCCTGGTAAAAGATGAGAGTGGAGAGAAAGACTTCAAGGGGAGAAACGAAGCCGGGCACCCAGAGGTACTCTGAGTTCCAATTTTGCTTCGGCGCTGGGGGTCGTGGTGCTTTGACCAATGAATAGGCATCGAATGCAGCGCGGGCCTTCCTGGGTCCCCGCCCAGGAAGGCAGGAGATAAAATCGGATCGGAAAGTTCCAGAAGCATGCTGTAGTGACAGCCAGTGCTGTCGTCTCCACCTGACAGCCAGCCAGAACCCAGCAGTGCAGCTCGGCTGGGGGAGTTGGTGTCCTGGAGCTCAAGGACCAGAAGTCAGATCAGGCTTGAAACCGGATGTGGGTGCTCCGGAAAGTGCAGGTGAACTTCCCAGCCCCTGAGCACCCGGGGTTTTTGTTTGTTTGTTTTTGGTCCTGGTCTTGGTCTTGGTCTTTGGCGGGAGAAATGAAACTTACTCCATCAGCGTGGCTAGTTCTCATACCCGGCCACCGGGCCAGTGACATACGGCAGATTTTAGCCATCAACAGAGAACCTCTCTCCGGTCTCTCCTGCGGCCACCCGGGCGGGAGGGGACCTGTGCGCTGCGGCCCCAGACAGGGTGCCCAAAGGAGAGGAGGGTGGCGCGGGGACGCTGGCCCGCCCGGCGCTGGGGCTCTCGCCGGCTTTGCTGTAGCCTTTTCACGCACGAGTCAAGTCGGCTTGACGCGTCTGGATGGCCGGGCAGGCAGGTGGAAAACTTGAGCCTGCCGACCTCTCTACCTTGCTGCGCAGCCCCCAGGCGGGACCCAGCGGTGACGCTTGCGAGTGGGTCTGGGGAAGCTTCCTGCGCGGTTCCCTTCAGCTTCCAGTTGGGGCCTTGGGGTCCGCGGGGCGCTCTGCACCTTGGGGATGCCCGTGCCCTTGCCCACTGTCCCACTGCGCCCCCACGCCAGCCCCGGGAAGATGGGCGGTGTGCGGGCTCCAGCCAGACCCTGGCCTGCGGTCAGCAAGAGACGTAACCCTCGGCCCGCTCGGGGTAGCACGCTGTACCCCTTCCCAGAGCGCAAGCCCAGGCGGGGGTGCCCAGTAAGAGCTCAGTAACGACGTTCGCCCCTGGAGGCCTGGAACGCCCCGCGCCTGGGGTAGGGGCGCGGGGCAGCTAGAGAGGGGACCGCTAGAGATGCTGAACCCTGGTCAGTCCCTGGGCCGAGTAAGAAGAGGCGAGGAGGACGCCGGGGACCGCAGCAAGCAGACCCCTGAGGATCATGCACCCTGCCTGGCCACCAGTGATTCTGCTGGGTTCAGTTGTGTCCTCTCGCGGGTCGGGAGTGGGAGGACGTCAAGGGTCCTGTCCACCTAAGGCCCGATGGGTCGCGAGACCCGCTGGCTGCATTCGGGGCGTGGAGACAACCAGTGTAAAGGACCCTGGGGCAATGCAAAAGGAGAGGCAAGCGCTGTCCCGAGAAGCTGCTGACCTGCGACAGAGACGACTGCGCTGTTGGTTCCGTGGAAAGTGGTTGGGGGGGGGGGTCCTTCATAAACCCAATCCCGCCCTTCCCCAGCTTCCGGAGTTCTAGGACAAAACCTAAAGGGATTGGAAAGCGCAGGTTCCTCAGTACTACCTAGGAAGGCAAGAAGGGTTGGTACAGAAACAAGCACTGCCTCTTGGACCAGCACCCTGGAAACTGCACCCAGGGCCCCCGAAGAGAGTGCCCAGGGGGAGACCACAGCAGCGTGTGTGGAGACCCGGAAGACCGGGTGGCAAACAGGACCCAAAGTGGGAAGGTCCCAGCCTGGGGGCTGAAACACACAGGCCCAAGCCAAGCGGCTTCACTTCCCTCCTTCGCTCTCCATTTAGGTCCCTGAACAGTCAAAGAATGCTGGGCTGAGAGGACGCCAGAGGCCAGAGGGGGCGGCCTCTGCCAACTCCACCTAAGCTCCTTTCTCACTCGCCTTAGATCTCGGAGAGAGGCAAATCTCCGCTCTGACCTGTACACAAAAGGTGTTGGCTCCCTCCGGTATTCTCTCCTTGCTTTTAGGCCAAAGGAAGGAAATTATTTGGATATTTTGATGCAGCAATCAAATCGTTTGGGCAAACCCAGATATGTCCGAACTATCAGAATTAATACCTCATGACTGTCTCAAGTCTCTACTCCATTCTCCAAATGCAGCGGTGATTCAGTCTCTTTCACACCCCCCACCCATGCCTTGGTTTTCTTGTTTCCCAGGTAAAGGGGACTCAGGCCATGCTTCATTCTAAAAACGTGCCATGTTCCAGTTCTCAGCTGACCTGAACTCTAAGCTGTTAATGGAAATAAAATACAACTGACTTGTCACCATCAAGAAGTCTGGAAGGAGGGGCTGGGGATTTAGCTCAGCGGCAAAAGCGCCTGCCTGGCAAGCGCAAGGTCGTGAGTTCGGTTCCGGTACCGGAGAAAAACCAAAAAAAAAAAAAAAAAGTCTGGAAGGAAAGGAACAGAGAAAACGCAAGATCCCAACAATTGCATTCTTCACTTTTTTTCTTAAGTCAAAACACCATGGTGACAGAGTTGGAATTTGAAGTCAAGACACCAAAAGGCAACCTGATTAACTATCAGGAGTTGAGCAGGGGCTCACAAAGCAGTAGGCAGAGAGTAGCTAAAGGCAGTGCCCTCTGGTGATGGTGGTGGTGGAGCTGGTGTTGAGCCCCAAGCCAAGCCTTTCTAATAAGATCGTTCTTCCCCCTCTCCTTCCTTAACCAAAAGGATGGCTACGAAGTAAATCCAGGCAGACTTGAAGGCGCATTACCTGTCTCCTTATTCCGTTGTGCGAATGCTGCAGTTGTAATTACACACTTGCTTTTTACGGGGGTGGGGGGGAGACCAAAGACCATATTTTTCAAAGTATCAACTTGTTTTCCATTAGGCAGTTGTTGTAACAAGTTCTTTCAGCGACATGTTATGTCTTTAGGAAAGGTGCTTCGGGTGGCGCGCACTAGCACAATTTTGTGGCTTTTAATTACTATTTTGTTCTTTCAGGGGGTTTCAGAGGCTGGCGCCTGGGCGTGATTAGACCGTCTACCCCGCCCGCCGCAATCTCGCGTGTAGCCCACAAGGTGGCGCAATAGAGCAGTCGCTGCAGCAGGACGAACAGACCGGGAGTCCAGCAAGGCGAGTGTTCATCACCGTCCGGAAGGTTTCCAACCACCAGGACATACAGATACCGAAGTCGCCAGGTAAACTTTTTTAAAAAAGAGAACAGACTGCAGTGGTAGGTCCTAAAGTGTAAAATTCTAAACTTCTTTATGTTTGTTATTGTAATTTACCAAGTCTAGTAATTGAGACTTGATAAGTCCATAATCTCACCTAAATATTAATTCATCTCCTTTTTCGCAAAAACATCGAATTTTAATGATGTTAGAATGAACTTTGAAGGCCCTCTGGTCTGTCTGGCCTACATTTCCACCCTTACGTGAAAGCCCCGGGATCGCTTTCAGGTGTCAGTCGCCCATGTATAATTACTCAGAACCTCGGCGTGTCAGGAGAGCACAAGAAATGATTTCAAATATATAGTAATAATACCTTTGGGATTATATAGCCTCTCTCTCAAGCAACATGGAAAAAACGTTTAAATGTTAACCAATTAATTGTCCTAATATCATTGTGGGTTGGTTAGGAAGCAGGTATTATTACACCTGGTTTATGGATAATTTCAATCAATTGACTGTCAAGTGCCTGAGTGGCTGACCAGAGTAAGTGCCAGACACTTCCAGGAAAAGCGGAGACACGGCTGGCTCGGCTCTCCGCACCGCTTTATGTGATTAATGTGTTTGAAAGCTGACCCCTGACATGAAGGCACAAAATCACTGGGATTCGCTCTTGCACACAGAATAGGATGGGAGACCCCACTTCTTCCTGTAGGGCAAAACGCCAGTCTTTATCTTCATGCTTTCTGTCCTGACGCGAGCCAATGTGCACCCCCTGTCCCCACCCCGCACCCGCACCCGCACCCCCACGCCAGCCAGCGCCTCTCCGCTCCCATTCAGAGCGGCCTGTGAGCGCCCGCGGCCGCTGGAGCCTCGGTGCCCGCCACGTGACACCCGCCCCCCAGCCGCGTAGCTTCTGGGCTCCGGGAGCCCCACGGCCGGTCGCTTCCGATTGGCTGTTGCTAGGTGACGTCGCCTGCGCTCACGTGACAAGTGTTAAATGCCCACCCTGCAGGAGCCCGCCTGGCAGACAATCGTAAAGCTGCTCCGGGCCGCTCACCTGCTCCCGCCTCCTGCAGCCCCGACCCGGCCCGGTCACCCCTGCCCCCTCCATCCCCCGCCCCCGCCCGAGCCCGCGCTGGGCAGGGAGCCAAGAAGGCCGGGAGGATGCGGCCCACGGCGGCCGTCCCGAGCTGCGCGCGGTGATCGCCTCCCCCGAGGAGGAGGCGCCTAGACCGTTGCCTCATTTCTTGTTTTCCTTCCCCCCCCCCCCCGTAATTACATTGGCTGCTGGAAGGGACCGGGAGAGACAGAGGAGGCGCCTGGCTTCCCCCTCACGCCCGCCACCCCTGCTCTTTCCCGTCCCGGGCCAGGATGACTGGAGTCTTTGACAGTCTGGTGGCTGATATGCACTCGACCCAGATCACGGCCTCCAGCACTTACCACCAGCACCAGCAGCCCCCAAGCGGCGGTGGCGCCGGCCCCGGTGGCAGCAACGGCAGCAGCAGCCTGCACAAGCCCCAGGAGTCGCCGACCCTTCCAGTGTCCACGGCCACCGACAGCAGCTACTACACCAACCAGCAGCACCCGGCGGGCGGCGGCGGCGGGGGGGCCTCGCCCTACGCGCACATGGGCTCCTACCAGTACCATTCCAGCGGGCTCAACAACGTCCCTTACTCCGCCAAGAGCAGCTACGACCTGGGCTACACGGCCGCCTACACCTCCTATGCGCCCTACGGGACCAGTTCCTCTCCCGCCAACAACGAGCCCGGTATGCACTACGCGGGTGTCCGGGGTCCCAAGTCGCGGGTCACTGGACGGAGGAGTTAAACATGTTTCGGGGAGGGGGCGCCCAGGGTCCTGGCCTTTCACACTGCCTGCCCATCGCCTGCTTCCTGCCCTTTAGCCTTCCCAATCTCCAGTCTCCGGCTAGTGAGGGCTCTGCCCTCGGCGCTCAGCTGGGGTGCCCCAGCGGCTCCGGGGCAGGGTGGGCCAGCGGTGCACGCCTCCCGGTAGCTTATTTCCTCGCCAACTGCCTCTTCTTTCTCTCCGACGTGCTCCCTGCCTTCCCCTTCCCGGGAGGGCTCAGCTTGCGGCTTGGGCGGCAGCTCCAGACCCCAGGTGGCGAAGCTGCGCCTGCAACCCGCGCGCGCGGCCTCTCCGCCGACCCGCTTCCCGGCTCCGGCCAAGTTCCCGCCAAGCCTTTCCCGCGGGCTAGAACTGTAGGACCCCCGCGTTGCGCGGTCATCACGACTCCGTTTCCTTGCAGAGAAGGAAGACCTCGAGCCCGAAATCCGGATAGTGAACGGGAAGCCAAAGAAAGTCCGGAAACCCCGCACCATCTATTCCAGTTTCCAACTGGCAGCTCTTCAGCGGCGCTTCCAAAAGACTCAGTACCTGGCGCTGCCCGAGCGAGCCGAGCTGGCGGCGTCTCTAGGCCTCACCCAGACTCAGGTGGGGCTCGAGCCCTGCGGGGACCAGGAGGGCGCGGGCCGGGGTGGCCCCGGAAGCACGTGCCTTGAGCACTTCTTTAAAATAATATATTTTAAGTAGTTTTAAGAACTTGCAGGCCCGCATCTTGGGCAACCTAAACTTCTAGGCCCAAAGCTGCAAAATCCCCAAAGGGTCGCTGCGTGGGAGGGGGGAAAGGGACCGAGGTGCGCAGAAATCGGTACCACGCTGCCTTTCCACTCGGTAATCATTAAGTGGGCGAAATAACTGGCCCTCCTGACACCCTCCGCTGTCACCACCGTGCACAGACATCCGGGGTCAGACACAGTCAGAGCGCGAACCTCAGCTTTTTGAGGTCACCTCCCAGTACGGCAGGAAGCTGCAGCACGAGATCCGCTCCTGGCCGGGTTGCTCAGTGGCCACCTCTAGCCTGCGGGCTTTCTCTGCAGCTCTCCTCTCCGCCCCTACCTGGGTTCCTCCACTAAAGCTGCGATCCTTTTTCCATAAAGGTCAAAATTTGGTTCCAAAACCGCCGATCCAAATTCAAGAAGATGTGGAAAAGCGGCGAGATACCCTCCGAGCAGCACCCCGGGGCCAGCGCTTCGCCACCTTGTGCCTCGCCGCCGGTGTCGGCGCCGGCCTCCTGGGACTTCGGCGGGCCGCCACGGATGGGGGGCGGCGGCGGCCCGGCCAGCGGAGGCAGCGGCGCCGGCAGCTCCGGCTCCAGCCCGAGCAGCGCGGCCTCGGCTTTTCTGGGCAATTACCCGTGGTACCACCAAGCCTCGGGCTCTGCTTCGCACCTGCAGGCCACCGCGCCACTGCTGCACCCCGCGCAGACCCCGCAGCCTCACCACCATCATCACCATCACCACGGCGGCGGGGGTGCCCCGGTGAGCGCAGGGACGATTTTCTAACCCCAGGGTACCTGCGCCAGAGACTGAGCAAAAACCCGCGAGCCTCGGTGCTCGCCCCCGCCGCAGGAGGGTCCCTGCTGCAGCCCGCGGCTGCCGCCCAGCAGTGCGCGAGGGTGCGTCGGGACGGCCCGGCCCAGCCGACGGAAACTGGGGACCCTCGCCAGCGGGCTCCTCTCGGGAGAAGCGGACAGCTGCTCGGCGAAGGCCGCACCAGGGCCACACTTCTGACCTGAGCCCCGAGCCTCGGCCATGTCGAGCCCCGCCTCGGACTCGCCTCCCCTCCTGTCCCCGCCCGGCGAGGTCGTCCGGCGCCTTCGTCGCCTGGGGCTTCGAGCTGAGCCCGGGAGAGGGACGCCGGCCCCGCCCGAGAGCTGCTCGGGCTCTGAGACTCCTTTCTCCTCGCTCGCCCCCGGCTCAGCTCCGGCGCGCTGCGGTTATTGACCTCCCGGGGTCCCGCCGGCCCGCCCTCCCCCTCGTGCCCCCTTGACCCGGAGCCCCAAGGCTTTTTTTTTGCCCCTGTGTTCCCAGACCTCGCCCCACCCCATCCTTCCCCGCCTTAGCGATCCCCAGGAGCACTCCCTTAGCTCTCTCCTCATCAGTCACAGTGGAGGTTTTTTATTTTTATTTTTTTAAAAGTTTAGGTGCCTTTGCGGATGACCTCATTTTGATGTTGGGAAAAATGATTTTTAATATGTGGACACTGCAAAAAATGTGTTTAAATTATCTTTTTTAAAATTTATTCAGGATTACTAGCCTGGACTTCGACACAGTTTGTAAATAAGTGTCTGTGAAGATTTTCCCACTGATTTATTTGTATAAAAATCCTCATCTTTTCAGACATTTTTGTAAACCCCTAGTTGTGAAAACTGCGGTTGAGCAGTGACCTCAGCAACCCCTCCATTTTATTTTTTCCCTTTGAAAAAATTTCTCAGTTAAATTAAGCTACTGATTTGAATTTGTTTTATCCGAAAGTCTTTGTTCTTGAAATGCAAGGTATTTTGAGGTTATTTATTATGAAAACAACATGCTCTTAATGTTGATTTTACACTATGAAGAGATTATTTAAATAAATTATTGTTTTCATTGGAGTGTGTGAATTTTCCTTGGTGCCCAGGGTTTCCGAGCTCGAGCCGCCGCCCAGGCCCAGAACCGGGTCAGACGAGAGCGACGTTTGCACTCTGCAAGCCGAGAGCGGGAGAGGGGCGGCGAGTCCGGGACCCGAGCGCTGGCTCGCGCGAAGGTTCAGCTCCGCCCTCTTCCGTCCCCTCGCGGGGTTCGCCAGCCCGCGGTGCGGTGACTCACTCAGCACCGGGCGGCTCCAGCCTCCGCCCGCCCGGCCGCCTGGCGCCCGC